AGACTCGCTTGAGCCCAGGAGTTGGAGGTTGCTGTGAGCTGTGATGCCACGGCACTCTACCCAGGGGGACAGCTTGAGGCTCTGTCTCAAAAAAAAATAAAATAAAATAAAATAAATAAATAAAATTTAAAAAAAACAAAGATTATATGGGATATATAGATTTTTACCTAGGACACTAATGTGCCCAGTAAAAGAAAGGAACAAAAAGCAGAAAGTAAAAAGACCAAAACATCCCTGAGGATTCTGTTAGTAAAGAGAAGGCCATTACTGGTCTGTGGCAATTGTCCATTCAAAAGCTACCCAAACCAGCTGTCCTCACCGTCTTGTTGCTTACACCTCCATAATCACTGGGAAAAGTATTAGACCTGTACCCAGATCTGATGTCATATGCCTGTTAGTAACTCCGTTTGGATTCCCATGTTGTAAATTGGGATTGTCGGATCCTGTAATTGGTTTCTATCAGCAGTTGTTATAAAATTTTCCACACTGCACTCTAATTCCATGTTTTCCCCTCTTTGTTTTCACTTTCTTACAAACAAATCACCCACACCCTTCCTCCGTTTTGTGTGTCTCTTTGATATGTCTTCGTGTGCCTCCGTCTGGATCCTCTTTCCCTCAGTGTCCCCTCCGCCTGATGAGGGGCTGGGTTCCCCCCTTCCCTGCTGTGCAGAGCAGCGCCCCCGCCCCCTTGGTGCTCTGGGCATGCCTGGCGAAAGAACAAATGGATAATTTCCCTTCTTGTCTGACTTCCCTCTCCCGATTCAGAGTATAAGATTGTTTCTATATTTAAAATGCTTTCTCTTGACCTTACTGCCTTCCCCCCACTCCCATTTCTCACAGGATTTTGTAATTTAAGGAGAGGCGTCTGTGTTTTAGTGTCCTCCCCATTTACTGACTCCTTGGTCCCTTTCCTGGCTTGACCCCTCTACCCCGCTGCTGAGGGCTTCTCCCCATTCAGTCCCCTCAGCTTCTCTGCAGCACACTGTGTTAATACAGACTCCTCAGGGACGTTTTACCTTCCTGCCTTTTTCTTCTGCATTTCCCTGTTGGCCTCCCTCTGCTTTGTGATGGAGAGGAAAGCACCCGGGTTCCCCTAACCCTGCTTTCCCGGAACATCTCAGTGGCTGGCCTGCTCCTTTATCTTTGGCTGTCTTCACTATGTGGATGAGTCCCAGATTCACATAAATTGCTTTTACGACTCATTCCTACATAACTTTTTTTTTGTTACAGAGACAGGGTCTTGCTCTGTTGCCCAAGTTGGAGCACAGTGGTGTGGTCATAGCTCACTGTATCCTCAAACTCCTGGCCTTAAGCAGTCCTCCTGCCTCAGCCTCTCAAGTAGCTAGAGCAATCAGCATGCCCCACCATGGCTAGATAATTGTCGTTGTTGTTGTTTTTGATTTTTTATAGATATGAGGTCTTACTTTGTTGCCCAGGCTAATTTTGAACTCCTGGCCTCAAGCAATCCTCCCACACCAGCCTTCTCAAATGCTGGGATTGCAGGCATAAGCCACTGTGTCCAGCATCCTGCATCACTCTTAAATACTGGATGTCTCAACTAATCCCTCTGTCATTTTAAACATTTAAAATTTCTAATGTTGGTATTAATGTTCTAGTTTCACATCAGTAGTGTAGTCCTGAAACTTCATCATGGTGACCCCGATAGCTAAGGAGAACAGCTTGCTGTGGGCTGTTTCCCTTGTCTAGAATGCCTCTTTATTCTCTCCAACTTTTTGTCTTTGTAAGATCCTTTGGAAATCTGCTTTTCACAGAGATTCCCAGGGTGAGAGCAGTCCTTCCTGCCCTCCCAGCCTATGGCCCCTGCCATCCTCATTTATGTATTTATCTGGTACTCCTTGTGCTTCTCTTGTATTGTTGAATAAGTCATTTTTATTACAGAGGTCTTATCTCACAGACGGCCTGTGATCTTATTTCTGTTTGTATTCTCAGTGCCTGCTGTCTATTTAGCACTTAATGTTTGCTACAGATGATGGCAGAGCCTTTTCATGTCCTGTGCCATTTCTAACAGTTTTTCTTATTACCAGACACTTTTTGGGGGTCCATAAACGGACAGTGTTTGGACTGAGCTGAATGACAGATTTTCTATACCCTATAAAAGGTGTGGAATGATTGTTGGACAGGTAGCTCTTCTCCTTCCGTGGAATGTCATCTGAAAACTTGGAATGAAAGAGTTGTGGGAAGAGCTAGTAGGATTTTATGCAAACACATAAAGAATTTTGCACTGGAAAGTTCAAGACAGAAGAGAGAATATGAATGAATGAGAATAAATGTGGAAGTATATACCAACCAGACCCACGCCACTTGGTGGAAGAAAACTTGTACTTTTCTTCAATGAAATCTTGAGATTTTTCCCAAAGGGATTATTTTGCTGAGTTATTAATGTAAGTTTTAGGCAAAAGTAGATGGGCAGAGGATTTGAAACTTGACATACTAATCAGTATTTCTGTTGTTATTCCTGATTCCCTGTTAACCATTGCAGGATTCTTCAGTATTCTCCACATTAAGGTTATGTTTCTTCAAATGCAAACCTAATATGTTAATAAGCTCAGACCTTGGTAAATAAAGTAGGGGTGCCATAAAACCAGCCAGGCAGAAGGATAGTTGTATCAAAGTAGTGGATATGTCATACAGATGAGAATTCATGTCCAGAGCACCCCTGACTGTTTTTATGATGAGTTGTCTTTATAATAAACTCCTCAGAAACATAGTAATGGGACAGATATACTGAATAAAGTAGGTCCTGTTCATATATGATGTCTTTTAAAATTATGGCATGAGAAATTAATCTGTGTGTTAATAATCTACACTAGGAGTTTTGTATGATTCCAGACTAAAAAATAAGGGGAACAAAAGCCTCAGTTCACTAATGTATTTTATTTCATTTTTTCTTCTTCTATAGGAAATTTGAAGTACTGCCTTCTGATTCTTAATCAGCCCCTGGACAAGTATTTTCGTCATCTTTGGAACAAAGGTAATCTTAATTAGCATTTATATTTCTTTGCTTCTTTATTTGGGAGTGACTAGCATGACTATTAAGTCTCCTGAGACCTGACTGAACCACAAAAAAGTGGAATTCATGATAAGGTGATTCACTTGTTATATTAGAAGAGTTCATTATTGCTTCTCTGTTAACCTGTGTTTTAAATTTTAAAATATTAAGGGAGCACAAATATTTTAGGTTTATATATTGATGGCCACAGCCCTGACCCCCCCAAAGCCAGAATATTCTGCTCTGTGAACTACTATGTGAATATTAATCCTGAATACTCAACAAGTATTTGTTCGAGTGTAAATATTTTTGGCTCCAAAGATAGCAAAAAAGCATCCGCCTGCCTCCTTTGTTACAGCATCCAATAATAAGATACCTTCAGGGGATCAGATTTGCAAAATTAAAAAGAAAACATGTTTCTAGTATGTTGGAATCTCTTGGGGTGCTAAAAATATAGTTAGCAAAAGAGAATGTTACAGAAGTGATACTTTTGGGAAGCTTTGTGTAAGAAACAGGCTTTATTAAGTATTTATTTGCATTATTTCTTTTATAGGACTCTAGGCTAGAAAATAATATTAAATATCATTTGCCATTTTGAACTTGTGCTCTTCTTCCATGAAATCTTGAGATATTTTTCAAAGTGATTATTTTGCTGAGTTATCGATGTACATTTTAGGCTAACGTAGATGGGCAGAGGACTTGATCTTGATATACTGATATATATATTTCTGTTGTTATTCCTGATTCCCTGTTAACCATTGCAGAATTCTTTAGTATTCTCAGCATTAAGGTTATGTTTCGTAGAATGCAGACCTAATGTGTTAATAAACTCACACCTGTAGACAGAAGTAATTATGCTACTAGAAGGGATAAACCATCACAAATGATGAAGAATTTTCCTTGTCCAATATCATTACGGTGCAGACTCCTGGCGTTCTAACTGCTTTAAGTTAGGCAATTTAAAATTTCACATTATATTATCTTCAAAGTTTGAAAATTATTTAACCATTAAGTTCTTTCTTAGCCCTTACTAGGAATTGAATAGTTAATTTGTACAGCCATAAGAACTTTTGTGTCATAGTATCTTTAGTGCCTTGTGCCATGTCTGGCACATAATTTAATATGGTTTTTATTCTTGTAAGTACTAAATAAACTGATTAGGCACATACTTTTTATTTGAATTTACTGGATCAGGTTTTATATTGTTTGGAGAATGTTTTTTATTACAGACATTATAGAGATTAAATTACCTTTGATAAGAATTCTTAGAAACCTTAAATATTCAAAGCTGCATACCGAGAGATCTCTTATATTTTGGCCAGTTTAGAGTCCTATTTTGTACGTAGTGAGAAATGATGTAGATTTTTGAGCTGTCTGAAATTCCTCATTAGTTTTTCTGCAGTGAATTAGGGATTTTTAAATTTTTTATTTTCATTAAAACTTTTTTTTAGAGACAAAGTCTCCCTCTGTTGTCCAGGCTGGAGTGCATCCACAGATGATAGCTCGCTGTGACCTTGAACAGCTGGCCTCAGGCAATCCTTCTGCCCCAGCTTCTCACAGTGCTGGGATTATAATCATTAGGCACCACACTCAGTTTGAATTATATTTGAAAAGAGTCTCATACCTCACTTATACCATTTGATCATATGATTTGCATAACATGATCAATCTGTACATGGAGGTCAATCGGTACATGGAGGTCAGTCTGTATTTGGAGGTCAGTCTGTACATGGAGCTCAGTCTGTACAGGCAAGGACTAAATGTGTCTGTAATGTCAAGTACATGAAAATGCCTACTTTATTCGCATTTGCAAAATAAATTTTTTTAGGTGATTAAAATGTTAAGTTCTTTGAAATATACTTCTAGGATAACTCCTGGCTTTCTGGAGCCTTTCACTATTCTTATGAAGCCTTTGACCATTCTTAAGAAGCAGGTCTGTTAATAAATACTGAAGAGTAGGGCTTGTGAAGATCCTAGAGAAGCTGCGCTTTTATGTTGGTAGTGGCCTCTTTTGTGTTGCTTTTCTTCCAACTAAGGACAAAAAAGTAGGGAAGGTTTGCATTTGTGATGTTGATTTTAACATAGCAGGAGAGGCTGAGAAAAGTATAGGGCAGTGATGAGAGTCTGGGAGAGAAGAATGTTTTGTGGCTTGGGGTATTGGCAAGTAAGAAATGGCTCAAGTCTGCAGTCTGCCACCTTTCAGCTCAGATGCCCAGCGTTTTCTGTAACTTCTTTTCTGTAATTGAAGATTTGTGAGGAGTGGAAATCTAGGAGTGGAGCTGTCAAAAGGGATGAAAGCTCAGCCTCAAAATGCAGAGAAATTCCAAGGGTGTTGCATAGCACATAAGACTCTGGCAGAAAACTGACAATTTCACTTTATGCTGAGGGCTTCTGTTAAGTAGCTAATTTCCTAAGATTCATTTCTAGGGGAAGACTAAATGGAAGGTTTTCCTTTTTGTTGTTTGTTTGTTTTAGTTTCTTTCTAAAATGTTTAGGTGGCATAAGTTTTAAAATTTTAAGTGTCTAAGAAAAGGGATTCAGGGAAGATTAAATTATTTTAGTATGTTTTCCGTTTTATCACCCATGAAGTATTTATGATTTTCGTGGTTATGGTCTTGGAATATATAAATGTTTCAGCATTTTGTAGATTTTTTTGTTAATAAAATAAGTACTTTGGTAGGTTAGTAGTGCTGAGGCCATGGGGTTTTCCTTGGCCCTCTGAAATTTCATTGAAAATTTAAACTCACAAAAAGGAAGTTTAATTAGAGAAAAGGTATACAGATTGATTTAATTTGTACACAGTTGCCTTCAGAATGAAGACCCAACCCGCCAGTGGGGTCCAGAAACTTACCTTAAGGTTACAGAGAGAATGGGGGCTTGGTTTCTAGGAAAACAGGTGATGGGATGGGGGACAAGAGGAATTCTACTGAGGGGAAGGAGGTGAAAAGTAGAGAAAATTGGAAAGTCTTGAAGATCATACAATGTCTGGGGCAAAGTCTGTTGGGCCTGCAGAGCAGACAATGGCTTGTGATGAAAGTCTGTCCAAGTTGGTTGACAAATACTAATCTTCTTTCCTGTGATATGGGTTCAGATAATGAAAACTCAGGCAAGGGGGTGGAAGTAATTCTTTTCTTTGGTATGTTCTGGACTTTAGGAATTTCAGGGAACAACTTTATCCAGTGCTTTGGTAGAGATGGTGGGGGTGTATATTGGACCCCAACCTGGGACAGTGTTCAGCAAGGGAGATGGGGAAATCACAAAACCTAAACTAGTGCATAAAACCAGAAGCCTGTAAGGGCATACACTGTTTCATGTGCCTGGGGCCATCATGAGAACAGTGCAGCACCTGTCCTGTTTCCTGGAGCCTTTTTATTGGGTACATAACAGAACATATGTGCAAGGATGTACTATTAGCAGTCAAGGTTAAGAATGAGAGAGGGGAGATTACAGCCCCCAGGAAGATTGGGTAAAGGGTAATCAGGGACATAGTGTAATGGAACATCTGAAGTAGCCAGATAGTGGTGCAACCGGAAGAGAGAGGGGAGAGAGCAAGTCTCATGTCCCCAGACAGACATCTCAGCTTCTCTAGCCTAAGCTACTAGGTGATGGTCTCAGCTGCCTGCACTGCTGATTTCCCCATGCAGGGAAAGTCAGGTAGACATTCCCCTGACTGGACACCTTACCCTGAGTTGGAAGGTCTGTGAGGATTTCAGCCTGTCCACCTCCCACAGGAGAGGAGGAGGTCAGAGGGCCCCTGAGGCTTCCGCATGTCAAAATGCCTTATTTGAGGGTATTGGTTTCTGAGCCCCAGCAGGAGGTAGATAGAAAAATGGATGGAAATATAGTTTAGCAGTTAACTTTTCTGTAGTTATCAGGGGTTATCAATGTTTTTGAATGGATATTGACCTCACATTTATGAACCTGTTCTTGTTTTTTTTTTTTTTTTTTTTAGTCAGACTCATTTCAGTAAGTATCTTTCTCAATCTGAAATATGTGAATATGTGATAAGTGACAAAATAGGGATATGTGTGTTAGAAGACTTTGCTTATTTCTTGTAGATTATCCTCAGTTGGGGTTACAAAGCTACTGGAGTTCTCCGAGTTAGTAGTATAGATCTCTGAGCTACATAAAATTAAAAAATGAAAAACAAATAGACCTAACAGCCATATATTTACTGGAAATAAAGTTATATTTTATGACTGTGTATCAGATGTCTAGTTCAGCTTCTTAATCATGCTCTCATTGTTAGCTTGAGTTCACCGCTTTCCCCTGCCTTTTCCACATCATCCACAGAACAGTGGTGACCCTGATAATTAGATTATAGGTAGACAATCAGATTAAGCCAGGTGCTTATCTACAGTGTGAGATTTTTTTTCTCTGATAAGGAATTATTTTCTTTAACTTGTCTTCTTTCCCCCCCGCCCTCCCCCAACCGTTCTCTGGTAACCGCCCTTATGATCACCCAGGGTATATGTAGCATGGCCTGGTTTATTCCTAATGAAATGAAGTCATAAAGAATTTGACAATTAAGTGGGTTTTGCAGATTAGATGGAGGCTCAGGTAGCATTCATGAATTGAAATATAAGCAGAGTGTTTGTTTCTATAACACCATCATGTTCCCTTCTGTTCCATGTGGAGTTAACAGATACTCATTGAGGCCCTACACTCTCAGGCATGGGACTAGTAGCTGTGATGCCCTTGCCGGCTGTTGATTATGGCTGGGATTGAGAGTCAGAGGTTCACAAGTGCGGCCAGCCAGAGGCTCTGTCCAGGTCACAGTCTTTGGAATCAACTTGCTGTGTCTGTGTTTCTTAAGAGCAGATATAATAGTTGACTCTACTTTAATTTAATTGACTCTACTTTATTCATGTCCATATGCTTTAAAACAAGAACACCTTACCTAAATAAAGGAGTTTTTAATAGACTAAATAGAATTGTTGCACTAATTATACTAATCTTGTGCTAGTGATTAGTATTGCCAT